CACCTGGGGGGCTGAGTCCTACTTCAGCATCCGCTCCGGGTCTGGGTCTCCCCTACAAACTGGGGTTCCCTCCTTGGGTGGTCCAGAGTCAGAAATGCCTGCCAGGGTCCCTGGGCTGATCACAAAGCCCGTGCTGGACAGGCAGGTGAGCACTGGGGGTCACAGGCAGGCCAGGGGTGCCCCGGTCACAGCGCCTCTGGCCCCGCGGAGTTGGGGCGCCCTCCTGGCACATGCTGCCTGCGGCCCCTGCGAGGCCCCTGACCCGCGGGTTAAGGGCGCAGCTGGTCTCCGACCTGCCGCCTGCCAGGCCCTGGGAGCGGGCGGTCTCGCTGGTGCCTGCGCACCCAGGGCTCCTCACGCTCCCGTGGCCTTCGGGGCTGCGGCAGGGCCGGAGGCAGACCGGGCACGTGCTCACCGGTCAGGCGCCCTGGTCAGGCGCCCTGGGCGGGCGGGGGCTGGCTGGGAGGGGACGGGTCCGGCGAGGTCGAGGCAGGCGCGTGGCGGGAGCATCTGGAAGTCACACGCGGGACCAGGGCGACAGGCCGCGGCCGGGGCCACGAAGGGCAGGCGGGGTCTTGGCACCCAGCGGCACCGAGTGGGGGCGGGCAGCAGGGTCTCTCCTCGCTGTGTCCCAGCACAGGGGCCACGGAGCGCAGACCCAGGGCCGCTTGGGGCGTGCAGGCCCGAGACCTGTGATGCTGCTGGGGGTGGGCGGGTGGGGCGGTGGTGAGGACGGACGACCCCGTGCCCTGCCCACCCCCAGGCCTGGTCCGGGAGCAGGAGGCGGGGCTGCTGCAGTTCCTGCGCCTGGACGGCTTCTCGGTGCTGATGCGCGCCATGCAGCAGCAGGTGCAGAAGCTCAAGGTCAAGTCGGCCTTCCTGCTGCAGAACCTGCTGCTGGGCCACCCCGAGCACAAAGGTGGGCCGGGCCGGGCCGGGCCCCAGGCAGGCAGGGGCCGGCGGCCCCTCGGGGGAGCGCGGGCAGCGGAGGGGTGTGCAGACTCCGGCTGGGGGCCTCCTGACGCCAGCCCTTGCCGCAGGGACCCTGTGCTCCATGGGCATGGTGCAGCAGCTGGTGGCCCTGGTGCGGACGGAGCACAGCGCCTTCCACGAGCACGTGCTGGGCGCCCTGTGCAGGTGTGTGGACGGCAGCG